TACTATATATATATATACATATATATATATATATATATATATATATATTATCAAGAATTAATAATTTAGCTAAATTCAATTCCTAATTATCAATTATTAAATATGATTAATGAGCAAAACATTGAGAAGTACATACATTGGAAAAAATTTTTTTTCGAACAATTTAGTTATTTTGGTTAATTAATTACCGAATTAATATGTAATATCATTCAATTGATTGAATAGAAAAAAGAAAAGGAAAAATCTCTTTTCAATCATTTCATTATATCGAAGTTTTTTTCTTCCTTAATATTAGAATTATTCTTCTGGATTTTATTCAAAAAAATTTTTCAAAAAAATTTTGAATTTAATAAGTGTTTTTCTCTTTTTTTTAAGGAAAAAGCAATAATTTTGGAATTTTTACCCATCTTTATCTTAAATAACTTAAAATTAATTATTTAATTAATGTATAATTTCATCAGAAAGTAATGTATAATTCAAAATGTTATTTATCAGATATTTTTGATGAAAATGTAATCTTTGTAATAAGCTTTATTAATTTGAGAAAAATTGTAAACAATCAGTTTTTTTTTCTTTTGCTTTGTTAAACATTTCTATAAAATTTAATTTTATTTATGAAATTAAATTTATACCATTAAAATGAAATAATTAATCTTTGAACTTTGCCCTTATTTTTTACTTCATTTATAAATCAATTGCATAATTTTAGAGCAATTTATCGATGGATTACAATCAAAAATTTGAATGTTATGCAATTTGGAAGCCATTTAGATAGTAATACACCGATGGGTTTATTGCGTGGAATTAAATATGGTACCGAAAGTTATCATGTTTTATTTAAACGATTATGCAGGTAAGCTATTTATTAATTAATTATTAATTATTGCATATTTTAAACCGATTATAAATTAAATTATTGCAAAAACTTCTAATTGATCAATTTTTTGATATTTTTATTCAAATTTAAATTTCTCCTTAAACATCGATTACTGTTTTATTAATTAATTATTAGTTGTTATATTTGATTATATTTAATGAATTTCTCAAATCATTTTATGCATTTTTGATTTTTAATTCTAAAAGGGAAGAAAATGTAAAAGAAAAAAAAAAAGGGAATTCGGAAAACATTCAATTCCATTCAGTATTTATACTTATAAAATTAAATTTAGTTTTATAAATTTAAAAGAATGGAAAAAAAGAAACGAAATTGGAGAAATGTGAAAAAGATATTCTGTTGCAGTTATGCTGGACTACATTGTGTTGTTATCAAAGGTTACAGTAAATCAGCAGGTTATCAACCCGGTTATCGATTTGATGATAACAGATTCCGGAATACTTGGAATGCTGTTTATCTTAGTGGCTCATGGCGTTTTGTTCAATGCAATTGGGGTGCTAGGCATTTAGTGTATGTTTACCTTCTTTTTTTTTTGGTTAATTAAATGAAAGCATTAATTAAAAGGAGCAATTAAATTAAAAGGCAGCAAAAAAAAAGTGAACGAAAAATTTTAATATTTGAAAATTATTATGTGATAATATTTTTTAGACAATACTTAATAATAAAATTATTTTTTTTTGTTGACATAAATTAATAATTGATTCTAGCCGTTTTTTTGATTCAGTTCAATCTAATTTAATTAAAATTAATTCTAATTATCCGGCCAACCCAATTTAATTTAATTAAAATTAATTTCGATTATTCGACTATCATTACAAAAAAGGAGAGGAAAGATTTAATAATAATGAAATTATTTATTAACATAATTCGATAAATGATTTATCTACTATTGATTTAATTTAATTCATTCCAGTTCGAATGAATTTCAATTATATGACTACTAATTGCAGAGAGAAAAAAAACGGAAAAAAGATTTGATAACAATGTTTTTTGCTAACATAATTTTATAATTGATTTTTATCATTTTTGATTTAATTGAATTCAATTTAATTCAGTTCAAATCATTCACAATTATATAACTGGTATTTGCGGGAAAAAAAAAGAGAAAAAAGATTTAATAATAAAATTTTCTATTAACATAATTTGGTAATTGATTTAGTTATTCAGTTTAATTGAATTCAAATTAATTTCGATTATTCGACTATTATTTACAGAAGATAAAGGTAGAAGAATGATAAATAATTTCTAGAAATGCAAAAGAAGGAAGTACACGAACAAGTAGCAAAAGTGACAGCTTACGTTACGAATATGATGATCACTATTTCATGACTGATCCTCAGGTATATAAATTTGTTTTCTTTTTCTTTTAAAATTTTATGAAATTTCAAAATAAGACATTACATTTTTATTATTTCAAAACTAATTTTTTTTAAATTGCTCCGCAAAAATTTTTCAATCTATCAAATTTAAATTTTTTGAAATTTCTTTTTTACATTTTCAGAAATTATATTTTTGTAAAATAATTTAGTAGAAAAAAAATTTTTTTCGCATTAAATTTGATACATTATTGATTTATTTCATTGACAGCAAAAATTTTATGGAAAAAAAAAATGAAAACAGAAATTTTTATAACAAAAAAAAAATCTCTTGATAGCGAATAAAATTTGAATTTAAGGAGGAAAAAAATTTGAAGTATTTGATTATCAATGATATAATGATACGTTTCAACAATTATTTGGAATTTATCGGAACTAAAATTTTTGTTTTTTTTGAAAAAAATTTGCAAAAAAAAAAAACCGATCAAGGTCATATCATTTGTAAATTAGTTATAAATGACCTTTATCGGTTTTTGTTTTTTTTTTCTAATTGTACTAGAAAATTTTTCAGATCCATATGATATGATATGAAACTTTTTTTTTTCGCCCAATGAAGTCATGAACTTTGCCCTTTCTTCATTCGCCTTTTATACTTTTCTATTATTTCAAGAACAAAACTTTTTCAATACTTTTTCCATTTTCTATTTCATTTTTTTTCATTCTTTCTGTAATCTATCGTTAAAGTTGGAATTTTTTGTTTTAATTTGCACAAAAAATTTTTCACAACATTTCCAATTTTATAAAATTTTATAGTATGCTTTAATTTTTTTGCTAAGATTTTCTAATGTGTTCCACTTCTTCTAAAATTTTATAGTATATTCAGGTTTTATAAAATTCCCTCCGAATTTATCATTAATTTTCTACCATGCTTTTTTAAAATTTAATTTTCAGTAATATAATTCTCTAATTTTCTTTTCATAAATCATTTTTCGAAGAAAATAATTCATAGATTTGATTTTAAGATTCAATTTTAATTTGATTTTAATTACTGTTTTTAAGTAATTTGATGAAAATGATTTTAGCAATACTAAATATGTTATTGAAAATTTATTTTATTCTACTTCTTGCTTTTATCGTAATCCATGAAAAATCTATCATCAAACCTGAATTTACATTATTAAACATATAATATTATTAAATTTAATCATTAATAGAAGTCTTTTTTCCTCAGATTAACCGATTGCGTGCGATTACGTCTAAACGATTACGTTTGATTACGTACTAAACAACTACGTATGATTACGTATTAACCGATTACGTACCGATTACATTTAGATTAATTGATTACGGAGTTATAATTTATATGAACATGAATGTTATCAGATCATAATATATCACTGCATGAATTA